GGGCGTCGTAGCGGCCTCTTGGGCTCTATGGGAGCCATCTTGGGTGTCCAGGGGCGATATGTGAGAGCCCTGGGGCCGTCTTGGACCGATTTGGGAGCCTCTTGGGGCTCCGTGGACACGTCTTGGCCGCCTCTTGAGCACGCCTTGGTCGCCTCTGGGGCTGTCTTGGGCTCCTCTTGGGCCGTGTTGGGAGCCCCTTGGGCCGTCTTGGGGCCGTCGTGGAGTCTCTTGTACCCTCGTGCGCGCCGTGAAGACCGAAAAGACGTAGATGCTAAAAATGCACGTTTCCTTATGCACAATCAATGATTTTGGCCGCTTGGGACTCTCTTGGAAAGCAAGTTGGGGCGTTGTAGCGGCTTCTTGGGCTCCATGGGAGCCATCTTGAGCGTCCAGGGGCGATCTTTGGGCGCCCTGGGGCCGTCTAGGACCGGTTTGGGAGCCACTTGCGCCTCCCTGGGCAAGTCTTGGCCGCCTCTTGGCCCGGACAGGAGCGCCCCTGAGCCCCGGAGCGGCCATGGGGGGCGCAGGTACCGGCCTGGCGGCCCCGATCCCCTTCCGCCGGCATATATATATATATATATATATAATAAAGTATTGTATGAGTCGATGCCCTTCCGCGGTTGACTGCCGGAACGTCAGTGGAAAAGGGAAGAGGAGGAACACACCACATTGAGGCTCCAGGGGGAGAGGGAACGCCTCGGGCAGACAGGCGCGCATGATGCCAACGGATGTGGCGGCGGCGGGGATCATTCCCAGGACATGGTATCACCGAAAACTTGGTGGCGGCATGGAGGCGTTGATCAGGAAGGGGTGATGTGCGAACATCGCCCGCACATTTGGTGTCCAGAAGTACTGCTGCAGGCTCTTGCCACCTCCGCCTCCCGCCCCCCATGCACGGCCCAACCTTCCCCGATAACACATGAGATGGAAGGAGTAGGACGAGGCGGGACAGCAGGGACAGGGAAAATCGGGCGGGCAGGAAAGGAGGGGTAGGTTGGAGAGTGCCACTGATGGTTGGTCTCCGGTGACGGTGGCGCTGAGGAGCGACGCCCATTGCGGGTCCGCGGCGAGCTCCTGCCCGGGGACCCACTCGGCCATTGCTTCGTGGTGGAGGTCGTGCTAGGCCATTGCTTAGAGGTCTAGGTGTTCAATTGTTCCTCAATCACTCGCCACAATCCCGCCACCCGGTCCTTACCAAGCACTCGCAGCATTGACATGGCATGCTCGTTGGATGCCTCTTGGTTCCCCAACCGTTCTTTTTCATCTAGGTAACTCATTTCGTCGTGGTTGGCTTGAAGCGCTGCTTTAGCAAAGGAATAAACATTGATTGATTGGCGTCAAACAGTTAGCTTCGAAGTTCACAAAAAGTTGTCAGGTCATTAGTGTATTGTGCTCGGTACTACTAGACCCTCTCTTAGTGCCACGATCTCGCTCCGCAACCATACAAATTTAACAAAACGATGGTAATCAGGACGGGGCACTGCTTTACACAGAGCACACAACAGCAATCCAAGTATGTGCGTCCTGTGCCGCCAGAAGACGGGCATGAACACTTGAGCAAAAAGCCAGGGATTGCACTGTCACCTGAGGCGCGGTGTTGAAACACAACGTTCTCCTCATCTTCCTCCTCCTCCTCCTCCTCCTCCTCCTCCTCTTCCTCATCATCACCATCACCATCGCCATCGTCATCGTGATCGTCGTCGAGGTCGTCGTCGAGGTCGTCGGCGAGGTCATCGTCAAGGTCTTCGTCGTCGTCGCCGTCCTCGTCCTCATCCTCGTCCTCAGCATCATGATCATCATCATCAGCATCAGCATCAGCATCAACATCAGCATCGTTCATCATGATCCTCATCCTCATCCTGATCCTCATCCTCATCCTCACCATCATCATCATCAGCATCATCATCATCAGCATCATCTTCGTCATCGTCATCATCCTCGTCGTCTTCGTCGTCGTCATGCACATGTTCCTCTTCATTATCATTGTCCTTCGAGTCATCCTCATCATCAACAACATCATCATCAGCATCATCATCATCCTCATCCTCATCGTCATCATCATCGTCATCATCAGCAGCATCAGCATCAGCATCAGCATCAGCATCAGCATCAGCATCATCATCATCATCATCATCATCATCATCATCATCATCATCACCATCATCATCATAAACATAATCATCATCATAATCATCATCACCATCATCATCATCGCTTCCCCGTCCTCCTCCTCCTCCTCCGCCTCCTCCTCCTCCAACTCCTCCTCTTCCCCCTTTCCATCCGCCACTTGTCCTCGCCTTCCTCCTCCTCCTCCTCCTCCTCCTCCTCCTCCTCCTTCTTCTACCTCCTCCTCTTCCTCGTCTCCTCCTCCTCCTCCTCCCTCTACCTCCTCCTCCTCCTCTTCCTCGTCTCCTGCTCTTTTTCCTCCTCCTCCTCCTCCTCCTCCGCCTCCTCCTCCTCCTCCGCGCTCGTAGCCATTTGGGCTCAAGGATGTGTGTGTGTGTGCTGTCACACGCACGTTTGGATCCTTCATACGGCCCCCTGCGCTCCTGCAGTGCTTGCCCATGCTGGGGGTCGGTGCGGCTGGCGGCGACATGCCCGCGGCGTTGTTCACGCCCCTGCTCGACGGAATATCTGGTGCCCAGTTGTGGCGTAGCTAACAAGATTGGCACCTGCGGACGGCGATAGAGGTGGCAACAACGGCGGCGCTCAACGGCGGCGTGCAGCTGGACACAGAGGCCGAGACGCGGTGCGCAACCCGTGATGCGCTCGCGGACCTCAGCGACGCGCTCGTCGAGGCGGGTCGTGTTCTTGGCAGCTGTGGGGAAGCCAGCTCGCAGGACATCCGCTCGGCGCTCCACCTCTGAGCAGGACCCGCTCTCAGTGTCGCCGCGGGTGTTGTCCACTCGAGGCAGGAGGCCGCTTGCCCAGGAGCGGCCGCTGCTGGTTCTGGACAGCGCGTGCTGTTGGGTACAGTGCCCACTTGTTCCAGACCTCCTTCCGTGCGTCCAGAGAGGAAATCGGTATCGTCGGAGCGATCCTCCTCCTCCTCCCCCTCCTTCTCATCCTTCTCATGCCCCTGAAACGCCGCCGCTAGACTGCGACGCGGCGGAGTCGAGTGCAGGCCCAAGTCCGAGCCTGCGAGGGCAAGACCGATGCGGTCAGCCCGCAGGGGCACCAGATTGGTACCAACCGCCCCAAGGGTAGCGAAGCTGATGCGCTACTGCACCTCAAAGACATGATACGAAATGATCAGCTTGAAAGAATATGTGAACAACATGCGGGAAGGGCAAAACGACATTTACTGCAGCGTGGGCAAGAGCATCGCTGCCGTGTCCATGTCGTCTGCCCTCGACACATTGCGGAAGGAGGGCCTGGAGGTTCTCTACGTCACCGACCCTACAAACGAGTACTCTGTGCGGCTCCTGCTGGATCTCGACGGGAAGAAGCTGAAGTGCGCAGACCAGGAGGGCCTCGACCTCGAGGGCGAGGCCAGCGAGTACAAGCTGCAGGAGGAAAAGGGGGATGTCGAGCATCCCCCGATGCCCCGGCGTGAGGTACCGAGCAAGGTGGCTCACTCGATGACCTCGTCCGTCGTGTCCAAACTGACTACCTACCAGACCACCCCAACCCAACCCGAAGACCCGAGTTTGACCCGAGTTTCGGGTTGGGGGGGGTACGGAGTCCATGTGTTTTTTCAACGTTCCCCGAACCCCCCCCCACTGGAAATGGAGGGCAAATTGAGGCCTCCGGGTTGGGTTGGGGTGGTTTGGTGGGTGGTGACAAACCGACCGTGCCTGTCGAGGTCGGTCTGGACGGCTGCGACGACCGCGTCCGCCCTGATGCGGCGGTGGCCCTGCCGCCATGCCTGCCGAAGAGAAGAACCCCGCCACGGACCTCCGACGAGGCCCGCGCGTCTGGGGAGGCGTTGCTGCGGGATGATGTCGGTCAGCATGTCGCGCCTCTTCTTGGCAAACCTCGCCTGCTGCCGGACCTGGCCAGTTTGCTCGGTCGGGGCTCTTCGGGAGCGGCCAAGGAGGGGGGCGTCCAAGAGAGGGGGGGGGCGCAAATCATGGCCGGCGGCACGTGCGCGGCCCAGGGGGGGGGGGGGTCAGGGGCGCAAGAAACGAGAAGGGGCGCCACGAAATCTGAGGCAAGATCATGGCCCGCGCCACGATGTCCACCCCCCCCCCCTCAGTCGCCACCCCCCTCTTGCCCGCACCAGAGTTCTGGCTGGGGGTGGGTTTGGCCGGGGAGGAGGAGGAGGAGGAGGAGGAGGAGAGGAGGAGGAGGAGGGAGGAGGAGGAGGAGGAGGAGGAGGAGGGAGGAGGAGGAGGAGGAGGAGGAGGAGGAGGAGGAGGAGGAGGAGGACTGGCGCGCAGCCCCGCTCTGCCTCCAGGGAGGGCCGGCCCTTTGGGGGTCGCTGCCTCCGAGGCAGAGGCGGGCTCCTGCGGCCCGCTGCCTGTGCGCCCTCGGCCCTGGCGCCCTCCGCCTCCCCCCCCCCTCGCCGCCCACAGACCCTCGCCGCCCTGCCCTGCCTCCAGGGGAGGGCGCGGCCCCTTGGGGGCTGCCGCATGCCTCCGAAGTGGAGGCGTGTGCGTGTGCGACTCCCTGCCTGCTCTAGGCGGCGAGCGAAGAGAAGGGGGGGAAGCGAAAAGGGGCGGGCCTTCCCAGAAGGCTCGGAAGCACCCCCCCGCCCTCCGAGGAGCTCCCCGGGTCCGCCCGAGGCCCCCCCGCCCCGCGGGCGGGGGCGCGGGGCGCCAGGTGCCCACGACCAGGGGCTTGATCTGCGGCAGGGAGAGGCCCTTTCCTGTGGGGGGGGGGGGGGCAGGGCCCCGCGAGGGGCAGCGAGGAGGAGCGGGGCGGGGAGCAGGCGGCCGGCCCGTGTCACGGGGATGCGCGAGGGGGGCGCAGGGGCCTCGGGCGCCCACTTCGGAGCCTTTCGAGCGGGGCGCGGCCCACGACAGCGGCCGGGGGTGGGCCGAGGAGGCAAGGGTGCAAGGGTACCCCTGGGAAGGCTGCCCATCCCGGTTGACTGTGGCAGGAAGAGGGGGAGAGATACTAAAGGAGTGGCAGCAGCGAGGAGGAGCGGCGACAAGAGGAACAAGCTACCAAGAATGGCGGCAAATCAGTCAGGCATGTCACCCCACAGGCGGATTTTAAACGAATGAAAAATACACAAACATACCCACGAATTGTCAAAAAAAAAATCCTATAAAGAAACAAACAAACAAACAAACAAAAGAACAAACAAAAAAATCGTTCCCTGACTATTTTTGACTATTTGGGAATATTCCTCCTGTAGAAGGACAGGCCCGACTTAAGAAAAGAGCGCCGCGGCGAAGGGACTCGGTCGACCATCTCGTAAGGGGCTCGGATCAACCATGCGCATGCAGCGCCAGGCCCCCCCAAGCATAAAGCTACATGAAACCACACGAAACTACAGACGAACCCGTGAAACTACAAGAAACTCTGGCCCCAGGAGAGACCAGCGTCGTCATCGTCGCCGAAGTCGTCGTCGCTGTCGGCGTCGTTGCCACCGTCGTCGGAGTCGTCGTCGTCGCAATCGCCGTCGCCGCCGTCGCTGCCGGCGACGCCGTCACCGCCGCCGCCGTCGGTCGCCGTCGTTGCCGCCGTCGCCGTCGTCGTCGTCGCCGCCGCCGTCGATCGCCGTCACCGTCATCGTCGCCGCCGCCGCTGCTGTCGCCCGTGTCGTTCCCACAATCGTTGGGGCCGTCGCCGCCGTCTTCGCCATCCGCGTCGTCGGCGCCACCGCCGCCGTCGTCATAATCAGCGCGGACGCCATCGTTACCGTCGTTGGCGTCACAGTCGCAGCTGCCAGCGGCGCGGTCGCCACCGCTGCTGTCGCCGCCATCGCCGCCGACGCCGCCGTCGTCGCCGCCGCCGCCGCCGTCGGTCGCCGTCCCCGTCATCGTCGCCGTCGTCGTTGTCGCCGGTGTCGTCCCCACAACTCATCGTCGTCGTCGTCGTCTTCGTCGTCGTCTTCGCCGTCCGCCGTCTTTGTCGCTGTCGCCGTCGTCGTCGTCGCCGTCGATAGCCATCCCCGTCATCGTCGCCGTCGCCGCTGCGCTGCTGTCGCCCATGTCGTTCCCGCGATCGTCGTCGCCGTCGCCGCCGTCTTCTTCGCCGACCGCGGCGTTGCTGCTGCCGTCGCCGTCGTCGTAATCGGAGTGAACACCGTCGTTACCGCTGGTGGCGTCGCCGTCGCCGCTGTCGTCGTCGCCGCCGCCTTCGGTCGCCGTCCCCGTCATCGTCGCCGTCGTCGTTGTCGCCGGTGTCGTCCCCACAACTCATCGTTGTCGTCTTCGTCGTCGTCCTCGCCGTCCGCGTCTTTGTTGCTGCTGGCTTCGGCGTCGCCATCGTCGTCGTTACCAGCGGCGCCGTCGCCACCGCTGCCGTCGTCGCCGTCTTTGTCGCCGTCGCCGCCGTCGTCGCCGTCGCCGCCGTTGCCGTCGCCGTCGTCGCCCCCGCCGCCCACGCGGTCGTCGTGGCCGCCGTCGCCGCCGCCCTCTCCCCCCCCCGTCCTGGAGGCTCCTCCCTCGCTGCAGCCGCCGCCGTCAAGGCGCGGCGAGGGAGGATCTCCAAGGCGGGAGGAGGGCGAGGGGGAAGAGGAGGAGGAAAGGGGAGGGGCCCGTCCCCGAGGGGGCGGAGGAGGAAGAACGGGGCGCTGCCCGGGGGGCTCCTGGGGGCCCTGGGACCTCCTGGGACCTCCTAACTAGCATCTCCGGCAGCCTCCTGGGGATTCCTGGAGCCGCATGGACCTGCCGGGCCTCCTGGGGTTTCCTGGAGCCTCCTGGGGCCTCCTGGGGCCTCGTGGAGCCTCCTGGAACCTCCAGGGGCCCCGTTATTAGAGCCTCCCGGGGCCCCCAGAGAGACCCCATGGATCCCGGAAACGGCTCGGGGGCGGGGGAGGCTTCTTGTCAGGTTTCTTGTTAGGCTTATGTTCTGCAGGGGGTATGCCAGGCCTCTCCTGTAAAAAATCGAAATCGCAGAGACAACCTCGAACAGAATCATGACACCCTCATGTCAGGATTATGCTTCCTGACCAAAAACAACGAAACGTAACAAAAAAAACCCTACCGCCCCGGGCCGCCCCCTGGACCGCCTGGAGCGTCTCCAGGCTCCAGGGGACCCTGGGACCTCCTCGGCCTTCCTGGGGCCTCCTGGGTCCTCGTGGGGCTCTACGGGGCCCCAAGGGGCCCCCAAAGGTCCCAGGAAGAGGCCCCCTGAGGTCCCCTGCGGCCCGGGGAAACCCCAGGAGGCCTCCTGGACAAGGACACACTAGTACTACTGCGCCGTGGTGAAAAGTTGCCCCCAACTTTGACGGCTCGGCAAAAGTGCACCCTGTGTCCGCAATGCGAGCACACACGTCGTTAGCCGCCCCGCTCGGGACGTGGAGCCTGGCTCGCTTTCGGGGCGGAGGACAACCTGGGGCTTGGAACCCGAATGAAATCTCGATTACGCCAAACGGGACGGCGGCTCGAAAACGGCAAGCCACGTGGGACATCCTCACAACAATGGCTAGCTTGACAGTTCGAACTCGGTTCGAAACAACAGAATCCGGTTCGAAACAACAGCACGGTGAGCGTTTCGCGTGGGACCTCTCTCAAAATACGGCGCCCGACCCGGTTCGAAACAAAAGGATGGCGGTTCAAAAACGGCAAACCGCTTGGGACATCCTCACAAAAATTGTTGTCTTGACGGTTCGAACATGGTTCGAAACAATAGAATATGGTTCCAAATACTTCGAAAACGAGCCTTTCGCTTGGAACTTCCTTTAAAACACGATTGGAACCTAGTTCCGCACAATTGGATGGCGATTCCAAAATACCAAACCGCGTGGGGCGTCCTTGCCAGAATGGTTTTCTTGACGGTTCCACAGCGGAGCGTTTCGCTTGAGACGTCCTTGGAAATACACGTGGAATCTGGCCCCAGACAAGTCCCAAACAGAAAAAATCGCGCGGGACATCCCCTGCAAATGGCGTGCGCCCCATTCCAAACAACGACGGCCGCGGCGACGACGACGACGACGACCACGACTACGACCACGACGATCTGCGTTCTTTCCTCGCCGCTGGCCACGCCTGGCCGCGTCTCGGTCTGGCCGACCTCTCCCCTCAGCGAGGGAAGGCCCACGGGGCGGCGCTTTCCCCCTGCGGGAGGGGGACGTGCCCGGGGAGACAAAGCCGCCCCTTCCCCGGGGACATACTGCTGTCACTCCCAAACACGGACATTTTGGAGCCAAGCCGTCCGCCAGGGCTACTTTTTGCTCGTGTCGCTCGTTCGGCCCCGGGTCCTGTTGGAAAATCAGCATGTTTTGGATCAGTTATCCTTCTTCTGTTTCTTGTTGCCAATCCTTTGTTTTGTTGTTTGACCCGGGCTCCGAGGCCCAATCCAGCAGTCACAAGACAGCCTTCTAGCAGTACATGCGCGTGCGGTCGCAACAGTCTCGATTCCTATCGCAACTCCAGTGCTAGTTCATTCAGTTTGTCCTTGCTGCAACTTCTGGGCAAGCTGAGGGAGGCGGGGTGGAAGGATGAGGGAGGAGCTTGCATCTATCGACCCTCAGATTTTATCTATATTGTCGCGTTCTGCGTACTTGAGCTGCTTCTCAGCAGTGGTGTTCGCTGGCAATGCGGCGTTCACAGGCGGCTGGGTGCTCACAATCACATTGGCGCTCAGGCGTTGCTGGAGTCAGGTAGTACTGATCCGGCTCCGAGGCCCAATCCAGCATTCAAAAGTTTGCGAATGTGGTCGCAACAGTCTCGATTCCTACCGCAAATCCAATAGACATTCACCCATTGTGTCCTCACTGCAATGTTTGGGACAAGTTGGAGGGAAGAGGGATGGAAGGATGAGGGAGGAGCGTGCGTCGATCAATTTTCAGGGCTTATCGATATTGTTGTGCTCTGCGTGCCTGGCTTTCACTGGCAATGTGGCGCTCACAGGCGGCAGCGTGCTCACAGTCACAGCTGTGCTCAAGCGTTGCTGGGCTCGGGTAGCACTCATCTGGCTCAAGCCGAATCCAAGAGGCAAAGAACGACTCCCTCGGAAGAAATGCGCGTGTGGCCGCATCGGTCTCGATTCTTATCGCAAATCCGATACACACTCGTCCAGCTCACCCTTGCTGCAACTTTTTGGGACCGTTTGGAGGGAGGCAGGGTGGAAGGATGTGGGAGGGGCTCGGCGACATGGTTGCCACAGGCATCTGGGTGCTCGGTCACTGGGGGACTCGGGCGCTGCTGGGCCCAAGTAGCCCTGGTGGTATCTCAGCGCAACCAGCTCCACATCACAACGACACAGAGGGCAGCACCCCCTCGTGCCACAACGGAATCTGAATGCATCGTAGCCGTTAGTTCGGCCATGCCAAAAAAGGGCCAAACTTGATTCACGCCCATGTATGCGTCCTCCTCGGAGGGGTGCGTCCGACCCGATCATACAATACAACCGTCTTGTAGTTTCCCGAGCGGGGCGGCCAGAAAGCGCCCGCTACGACGCATCTACTACAGTAGGGGCCAGACCACGAGGAACCTTCCACAAGAAACCCGACCCTGAGACCCCAGGACGTCCATTGATTATTCGTGTGGGAACGTCGCGCTCTCCGTCGCAAAACCATCGAAACACGAGAAACCCGGGGCACCCTGGAGGCAAGCAGGGTGTTTCGTGGCATGGGCCTCCACTGTATGAGATTTCTCGGTGCGCGCGTCGCCCCTTGGGGGGGGCGACGGACACATAGTGGTATGTTGGGGTGACGCCGATCCCATGCGGCCCCTGGACTCCCACGACGTT